TCACGGGTGAATGCGATGAGTGGGGCATTCACCACCTCCTATAAGGAGGTGCCTAAAAGGCCGGAGAAAGATAATAACATGGATGGACTGCACGGGAGAGATAAATGGAAGGTTGACATGGATGGACTACATGGAAGGTTGACATAGCTAGATTGCATGGATGGAGGTTGACATGGCTGGATTGCATGGGCGAGATAAATCACCGGGTGATTAACATGGATGGCTTTTGCATGGAAGGTTGACATGGATGGACTGCATGGGAGATTGACATAGATGGATTGCATGGATGGACTGCATGGGATAATATAGCTTGAATTTTTATTAATAAAGATTTGATAAATATAATATATTTCTATATTAATCAAAATACCTCGTCTTGCAAGGCTATTTTCAGCTAATTTCTTGAAGAATATTTATCAAGTCATTATGGATTTATTTGATAAATCACGAAATGATCAATCTAAATCATCTAAAAAAGGAATTAAAGAGTTAATAATCGATAAAATTTGTAATTTTGTTAAAGTGCTTTCATTATTTTGAAGATCCATCTCTTAACATGTTATAGAAATTGGATGCCAGTAAATTGATTTCAGACTATCTCAAAAAATCTAGTATATATCGTCACTTTTAAACTTGAATGCGAATGTTTTTTAGTTGAAATTTTGATTAAGGTGGTTTATGCCTTTTAAATCACTATTGATTGAGAGATGCTTCTCCTTGAGGCCATCTGAATCCTGTCAAGACTTCATTTAAATAATTTTACTCAATTTCCAGAATCCAACCGCATTTTCTTGCTAAAATAGGATCACTAGTAACAACACCTAACCATTACTGATTTTTTTGTCCAATTTGGAGCTATGGTTACTCTTAAAGTAAAAAAAAAATTATTTAAGCTCTTGTGTCTACAAAAACATTCAAATTAATTTTATTTGACTCAAAATTTATTGTTTAAAATGAAATAGAATTCATAACTTTACCAGAGTACGGCGAGGTCGAAATTCACAAAACGTTCCAAAGTATGTTAAGATCGAAATATATTAAAACAAAGCACTTTTTCATAAAGAAAAGTTTTTAACGGTTAGTTATACATGCATAAATAATTTTTCCATAAGTGAATGCGTTGTATTACTGAGCTCTAACTTGTTATATAAGTTCAATAAATATTTTTGTACATCTTACCTTTACTAATGCGCACTATATATACAGTGAGGTTTAATACATATGCTAAATATTTTATTAAGTACATATAAATACATGTACCGTATTTGCGGAATATAAGCAACATCTCCGTATTTTATTTTTTTTTTGATGTAATCCATATTTAAGTTATTATTAAACACAGGATGAGTAATGCGTATTTTATGACGATTAATTTTTATTACTGTTACTGTTACCGATTTCTTGGCTCGTGGGTGGGGAATATCTAGAAAACATTACAGTCTCCGAAGACTTAATTTTGATGACAATTAATTTATCTTTTTCCTCTCTAGTTCGGAAAAATAATCTGTCTGTTAACAATTACTATACTCATCTGGACACGAACTTGTGAGTGAATAGGAATAATAAAAAATATAGGTAGCTGTATATATGGCAAAAGGAATAGGATAATATATACATAGATAGAGAAATCACAATCGAATAAAAAATATAGTTTTAAGAATACAACGATGTCATCTAGACAAGCCAATCAGGCAAGCATCCGCAAAGATACACAGGCCAGATTTGCAGAGCTCAAAGGAGTAGCATTAAACACAATACCTATCCACGTTCTAATGCTATTTAACTCAATATCAAGAGGAAATTAGGAATCTCGAAAACAAAGCCAATTATCATCAAGAAATAGATTCTATCGATAAATTAGCTGACTGGTTAGCTGGGCCGGAAAAGGGTTATAAGCCAAAGAAATTGGATCCAGTTCCTATTACAATGGATGAATGAGCAGATAAACATTTATGGCTAGGAAAAGAAATCCAGTTCGACATGCAGATGGATCAATTATATGGTTCTCAAAACGAAAACCAGAATTAGCACCCCAGAAGAAGCTAAATAATCATAGAATAGAGTATTGGAAACTTTCTCCTAATGCCAATAAACCACACATTACATATGAATATGCCAATAAAATTCGTGATCTGATGTGATCTGATGGATGATGATGAGGAATATATTATTGGAATTATTAATAGTCGGGAAATGGGTAGAATGGAAAAACTAACGCAATTTGATGATAATGATATACCTATAAGTTCAAAAGAGGAATGGGTTCCAGAAGAAAAACATGAATGGAAAATGGAACCTCATGGATGGATACCATCATTTAATGAATATTCTAATGGAAAGATCAATATATATAGACTTTTAATGATGGATCGGATAGCATGGTTATCCTGGAAAGATGAAGATAATGATCCAGATAAAGATGACGCTATTATTTAGAAGGCCAGCCATATGTACTGCGCTACCACGTCCACGCCAAGATTTATTTTGTCCAGGTATTCGTGAAGATGGAATAGTTTGGTGGCATACTCAATTGCCAGTTCGCGTTCATCATAATATGGCTTTAGAAATTCGGTCATTTATTTCTTCATTATGCTACAGAATATAGACTCTTTACTAAAATCTGGAAATCAGATGGATCTGTAGATGAAGAGATTGCAGATAAGGGCTGGCATTTTGGCAAGAAAAAAAAGGCTGTCTGACTGGGGAAGAAATTACACCAGGGCAACTTATAGGCATTGACTAATATATATGGCAAAAGATCCGTGAATATGTAGCACACATTTGCTATGAACTTCGACCAGTTCCAAAACACAAGGTCTACCAGGACCATTCTATGATTGTAATATAAACTATATCATAGCAGAATTACAATGACAAATTGAGCAAGGAGGAACAAAGCAGGCTAAAGGGCTAATGCCAGCTCGTGAAAGAGCCCTTGTAGAATTTAACGAAAAAGTTCTGAAACCAGGTTGTAATTTGAAAAACTTACATATTCTCAAAAAGGATGAAAAGGATAGAGGTTTAGGAATGAAATTATCATTAAAGATATCTTAGGTAATGAAATGTGGAATAGTGATAAATATAAAAAACATAGTACATTAACTGTATTCTGTCATAATAACCATGCATGGACAGGAGGAATTCCTGAAATGCCCAAAATATCTTTGATTTGTGATATGGATTTAGAATGCGAAAAAAGCACTTGCTTCTGCATGTACAAAAACTAAAGAAGGAAAGGTTAACATTGATGATAAAAAAATTGCAGAAGCACTGATATTATTTGTTACTAGAGAACTTCTAAAAGCAACAAGAATATGGATTATAGGTAAAGAAATTTTAACACATGAAGGCATTCTCTATCGTAGCTCTCATGAATGGGAAAAATTAATTAAAGCTTTTGTGAATGAGAATAAAGATGCTATTCCAAAAAGTCTATTATAAATTGATGTATAGGCTGAAGCAACTCATGCATGGTTAGAAGGACATGAATTTCGAGAAATACCAGATCCTTTGCAAGAGCTTAAAGTGAAATAATGAACTTGACAAATTTCTGGGAGGTGCTCAATATTACTGATTTTGTTGCTGGTGAGAAAAAGAAGATATCGCTCCTACACGTTATTGAAATTTGGTGCAACTCTCAAGTAGAATCAATAGTATGAAATACACCAATAGATCCACCCCCAAAATATATCTATATCGACCTTCATAGAGCATATCTTGACTGTGAGGATTCGGAACAAAGTGCATCTAAAGCCTTGTCATGATCAGATGATATGGATTCTCAGAATGAACACAACTACGTATTTATATTAAAAAAATTGAATCTGTTCATTCTCTGACTGGCATTATTCAGCTTGTAGTATAGGAATTTGTTGAGAATCTCCATCCATTCACAGCAGGACTTATTGGACAACATCTGAAAGAAAAGAATGGTTGGATTCCTATATCATTAATCTATTATTTGCTAAGTGCTGGATGACTCATAAGTGCAACTCCAAGAGAAATCATATATAGTATTGGCAAAAAATCTCGCATTGAATTTCCACCTGATCGTGATTTAGCAGTTCGTTTCATGGGATCATGTGCTCGTAATGTACAAGTTATATTTGTTTTAATTCGAGACAAAAATAAGACAGATATGATTCATCAATAGTTAGCAAGAAAAAAGTATCAACCAAACTGAACAAGTAATGAGTATGAAACTCTAATAAAATATGAGGGGAATAAAAAATATGCTTAATAGTTGCATATCTACTCTTTTATCCTTGCCTATACTCATATTGCTATATTTGAATAGTTGAAGTGCTTTCCAATTGATAATGTATTATGAGTATATACTGATGCAATTTATATAACAGCAATTTCTGAAACTATTTTAGATGAGAGTAAACTCAAAATCGATTTTGATAAAAATCTTTACGCTAATGTAAAAAATGATACAGAATTAGAAAAGATTCATAAAAAATATAATGCAGAGGTAAATAAAATAAAAAAGCAATACAAATCTATAATTATTTTAGATACTTCAGAAATTAAGTATAATCAATAATGCAAGGAAAAGTCAGATTATATCTATCATAAAGAAGCATTATCCTGGACCATTAATCATAAAGGCACATTTGAGTTTCCTCTGAGTGAAGCTCTGCTGCTTTCTACTAATCTGAAATTAATTATATTATAAAAATCTTACTTAGTGGGTCAAGAGAGGAAGTAAAAAAACAACATGAGCTATCTGTGTATTTCCTAATCAAAAAATTATGATTCTTACTCCAGCAAACTTGCTTGCTGAGTATCATAGAAAACAAAATTCAGAATTAATTGCTATGATATATCATAAGTATTTTCACTTAGAAATAATTGTAATTGATAAATAGGATCCAGCATATCTCAAAAAAAAGATGCTTATCAAAATACTAATCTTTGATAAAGCATGCATAATATCTAAAAAGATATAGATTATTATCTTATGCCAAAAGTTGAGATTGTCAAATAATTATATATGATAATTCAGGCCAACTTATACTATAGGATGACAAAGAAGGTCCACATAAATTTCTTACAGAATGAACTGATAAAGTAATCTAATGTATGAAAGATTATCATACACAAGATGATAAACTTAAGGTATTAAAATTACATATATGAATAAAAAGTGATATTGCTTAATTACAAGAATTTCATAAGGCTGTATCTAAAATAATATGAGAAAATGCTCTCACCTAGTGAACTCTAAATGATATCTGGATTTGTTCTACAAATAATATGGGTATGCAAGTTGAAAGTGTATTATTACAGGCACATGCATTATACTTTCCTAATGAATCTTTAGTTATTTATTTTAATTCAGATGATAGTATCAAATATAAGTATCATATTTAAGGAAAGTCTGTATAAATTTCAGATAGTGTTGAAATTATAGAAGCATATGTTAGTACTATAGTAAACATGTCACTTAAAATTATATTGTATAAACTTCCTGTTAAATAGAAATATGCTGGCTGGGAAACAGTTTATCAAATTCAAGAACAAAAAATTGAGGCATGAGAATGTTACTTTATTATAGACCATAATTTGAGAGGCTGGATCAATAATGTTATATATACAACTTACAGTCATATATAATATATAAATCAATTAATCTGAATTTTACCATCAAATAAGATACTCAAATACATTGAGCTCACTAAGCTTCAAGTAACTTCATATTCACAAATTATTGAAGCAAATTAATACATCACAAGTATAATGACTATAAAAAAATTATCATTTTCCAAGATCACTTATGATAGTTGAGAAATGGAAGGTAGATAATAAATCAGATTTAACAAAAAATTCTACAGTATGCAAGAAGCCTCTTTTTCTAGTAAAAAATGATAAGAAAAATGCTATTCCTTCACTCACAGTAAAGGATATTATAGATAAATATTGTAAAATATGTCAAGTTCTACTTCTATTTTAAGACTATCTCAAATACTATCCACAGTTATTTTTGATTAATCAGCTTGATGATGCTAAAGATTATTATCATTAAAATATAAGAATTACTTGTCTTCATTGTAATAAACAGTATCAGCATTAAATATTATCTTTATTATAATAAATAGTATTAATACTAAATTTTGTAGGAAGCAATTGTGAATGAGTAAATTCATACTTTTAATCTTTAATATAATAAAGCATAAGTTATTCTGGATTTTGAATTTATTATATAATAGGAAAAAATATTTTTTGACCAGTAATAATCAGTTACTCTTCTTTTATGGAGTGGAAAATCATTATTAATAAGTATATATCTAATCATTATATCTAATAGAAGTATATCAATTTCAGATAAGATTTTAATGAAACTAGATCTAAGAGAATTATCTTTGCCAGTTTAAGACCAGTAAGCTAAATTATCTCCTTATTTATAATAGTAATTATTGATTATAATATCTTAATCTATTCTTGATTAATATGATTAGCAATCAATTCCTTTTTTTATATTTTTTTAAATAAATAGTTTTCTATTTAATTATAAAATAAATTTATAAAGACTAAAGAATGATGATGACCCTTTTCAACTCATATAATATGTATTCTATGATTTTTATATAATTTTGTGATATTACCTATTAGTTCTATTCCCAAGTCAATCATAAGAATAACAAGCCAGATCAAAGATAAGTTTGAATTTTTATAAATACATTTAATAGCTATAGCAAGTTTATCACTTCATTTACTAGTTAATAGCTAGCCAGCTTTGAATCTTGAGATATAGTATATTAGTCCTAAAAGATATTTTTATCTGTAATTATTTGGCATAGGTATAAAATCATTCTGATGAAGATAATTTTGATCATTACTTAATAAATTGAGCATATACTTGATATGATAGTTTGTAGTGCATTTCACCAATCAATTGATTATTGATCCAGTTATGAACTCTTTCTAATGAAGCTAAATCTTTAGATAATCTCTTTTATAATGCTTATAAGTCAGAAAATATTAAATAATAAATTGGATGTAAAATTTTATCAAGCTATTTATCCAAAAGAGATGATAGTTATTAAAGATGATTCCTCAACTAGTTATGACTTGTGATAGCTAATCAGAGAATTATAATAGAGTTGCAATAGCCAATCAGAGAATTATGATAGAGTTACAGCTAGCTACAGCTTCCATCACTATCTTTAAATAATAAATTAATATTACATAAAATTAATAATAAGATAAATAAATTAATAATAGATAATACTTATATA